TAAAGGTTCAGCTCTGAGTCTCCCCCTATTTGTACAGTAATCGCTCAGTCCACTATGCCGCATTTTAAACTCTCAGATGCTGGATTGACAACGAACATGACACAGACTTTCACCTCCTTTGAGGTTGTGTCAATTTTCACAGGCGCTAGACGAATCGTTTAGGATTTTATGCACTTTTTTTTATGATCTTAACTTTTCAGAGCACTTCAGGGGCAAAAATTGCTCAGCAGCAGCTGATTCTACCTGGAAAAAAATGTTTCTTTTGCCAGTTGTAAAACCAAGGGCCAAATCCTGCTTGTTTTACTCATGTGAGTAATCCTACTGAAGTCAGCTGAGTGAAGAGCAGGATCTGGCTTCCAATTTGTATTGGGACAATGTTGGAATGTTACAAGTGCATCATGAAAAATGCTATCTTTTTGCTGCCTTAGGATTGTTTTACAAGGCATACTGACCCCTGACAGAAACTCAGAGTAGATATTCTCTGTGACATTACAAGTACCTGCTGGGTTCAAAAAGGGTTATGAATCCACATGGGGGATAAGCAGCAGAAGCAGATGAACTAAGCAACGAAGAGGTATTTCCTAGTGGGGGAAATCAAAGGTGCAAAATTAAAACCCAGAGTAGAGCTAGCTAGTGGATTTATTTTTGGAGTTGGAACGTCTGCATTTTAATCTCAGCTCTTCCTGTGGCTTGCTGTGTGGCCTTGGGCAAAGTCACTTAGCCACTCTGCCTCTGCCTCCCCATCTGTAAAACAGGGATATTTATCTACCTCACTGGGGCATTGTGAGGTTTGTACATCGCTTTGAAAATTTAAAGCACTACAATTGTGTGGAAAAACCCTGAGTGGGGTTCAGAGGTTTCCAGTAGTGTCACTAAAAGGAGTTATTTAGTAACATTACCAGGGAGGCATTTTAAAAGGAATATGGCTGCTCTGAGAGTGCTTCAGTGCATGGGGTTATTTTAGCCAAATGGTACAACATGCTCTGTGGCTCCTAAGATGATTGATAAATAGTATTTCCAATATGCGTCAAGGAATGCAGTGACAAATTTGTGAATTTGCCGTTCAAATAAAAGCTACATAAAGGAGCAAGGAAATATTTCTAAAGTCATTTTATCCAAAAGATGAGATTACAGCTACCTGTGGAATTCCACTTTCAGCTGAGTTCTGTAGATTTGGAAGATTTAACTTTATTTGCCAAGGGTTTATATTCAGAGTTCAAGACAGTGAGTAGCTAAATTGGTACCAGAGGTGAAGATCCTATTTAAAGGGTGGCATCTAGCTTAGGGAGCACCGGCTCTTTAACAATACTAGCTTTTTTTATTCAGCATCTCAAAATGAAGGCAGTAGCTTTGAATTTCAAACCTCCTACTGAATATTCCCAAGAGTCCCTTCTCATGAGTCCTTCTTTGTTACCAAATATCAAACTGCATGTGTTTTCCCATCAGTGTACATAGGACCAACTTATCAACTACCTAGCCTAATACACGATATGCAACTAAATGTATACTAGATTTGGACACTTATCTCATCTTGGCTAGCTGTCCTCTGTTTGTTGCAAAGTGCGTGATTGTGTTCTTACAAAAAACAGCTCCAGTTGCAAATCAGAAGTTTATGTGGCAATGCTCAGCACTGTTAACTGCTTCCTGTATTCATGCTCTCTATAGACAAAGAAATAACTGAGCATTAAGTTTTTCTTGATATTGTTTAAAATGAGCTAAATGACAACAAAAAAATTCAGTGTCTATGTTTACACAGCTGCCCCAAACGCATTGCAGTTTCTAACAGTTAGTGATTTTCCAGCCAACCACAGCAGATTCTCAGCTATTCAATAGTCAGCTCCATAATGCAGATATTTACTGGATTTTGCAGTAAGTATGTTTTTAAAAACTGACAGACTGAATGGGCATTAACATTGCTCCAAACCTTGTTTCCCCTCCCATCCGCCCCACCCAAAGTATCTGCCTTTCAGCTTTTAATCCAAAACCTGTTTTGGTCTAAGGACAGCTTCATGTACTAGAATTCCCCAGCTAGTACCTTGGGACAAATTTACCATATATACCAGGAGAAGGTCGTTTTTGTAATTTTCTTACTTGTCTCTAATACTCCTGCACCCTTATTCTCTGTGACCTCCATGTTTCTCCTGAGAATAGGGGAGATGCTTAGGTCTTGACTTGCATAGTAAAACTGGTTGGCTGGCATTTTTATTGCAATCCTCTGTGTTTGTATCAATATTTGGTTGTAACTTCAAAGGTTTTTGGACTGAATTAATGAAGCAGGGAAGAGCATGCATTGTATTTAATGTACTAGGTTTGACTTGTCTTTTTAACAAAGTTAAAATAAAGAATGCTTATGCATTGGCTTTGGCATATACTATTCAAATCTAGATCTCCCCTCCTACAGTCCATTTTGGGTAATGCTCCCATATACCAAAGTTCCCAAACCTATTCCTGTTTCGTATTTGCTCATTCACACATGAGAATTAATATTTCCAGTACAGAACGTGCGTGCCCAGGACCAGCACTATCTGCTGTATATCAGAGCCACTGAAAATATATTTCATATGTGAAAAATTATTGAGTGCCTGTTTCACAGTGTCATACCTATCACGCTGGTGAATAAGATGGTACATATTAAATGTCACAAATAATTTGATAAAGTCACCTTAAAATATCAGATTATATTTAATTCCATTGCACAATCACAACTCCATCAGCCAGATCCTCGGTTTGTGTAAATCAAAGTAGCTTCACTCAAGGTAATTGCACTGTACCTATTTACACCTGCTGGGGATCTGGCTCCTGAGTAGACAGAACTTAAAAGGCTTAATTAATAATATTAATGATATTGTGGTAGCACGTAGGAGCCCCAGTCCTGGATCCCACTGTGCTAAGCACTATACAAACACAGAACAAAAAGATGGTCCCCCACCCCAAAGAGAAAACAATCTAAGTACACTGTACTGCATTCCCTGCCTACTCAACCCCACCAGAGACTTTGAGGGTGCAAGGCAGTCAGGAGCTGACCTTTCAGCTATGTAAAATGTTGATTTGTGAACATACAGAGACTCAAGAAATAGACTCTACCTACCTTCCATATCGCTAATGCAGTTAGAGACACTGTTGCCTAGTGGATAAAGCACTGGAATGAGACTCAAGGGACCTAGGTTCTATTTCTGTCTCTGCTACTGACCTACAGGCTGATATTGGGAAAGTCACTTCCCCTATCTGTGCCTCAGGATCCCCAACTGTAAAGTAGGGACAATGATACTGACCTGTTGAAATCTATGGAGGTATTATTTATACAAAGCCATGTTTTCAAACCAGCCTTTGGCACTGAATAATTTGCAGGCATTTTACAAGCCTGTTTGCAGAAGAAAGTCAGTAGAAGCACCAAGTGTGTGTGTGTGTGGCGGGGGGTGGGCTGCGATTTCAAATACAGGGTTTGTGACTCCGTGCAACGACTGGTTTGCAATTCAGGGGGGGAATCACTAGAAGAGAACATTTAGGCTCAATAGCAGAAAAAACACCCTAACATCAAGATCTCATTGACTGTGCAAAACTCTCCAAGGGGAAGTGGGAGAAGCCCCATCACTTGAAATATTTAAAATTGTACTAGACAAGTAATAATAGCAGTGAACACTCCATAATAGTGGGCGGGGAGCATTAATGTTGCAGATATCTTTTCACATGCCCACTGACATTTTCACAGTACAGTAACAAACTCGAAGGAGGATGTTTTCAATAGTACCCAAGGGACTTAGGTGCACAAATCCCATTCAAAGTCAGTGAAGACCTCCCCAACTAACGCTGCCAAGTTGCATTTAGCTTGTATTCTGCTCTGTCTCTCTTTTCCTCCCCAGCAGGTTTAGACAATAAATCTTACTTTAATCAGATCATTAGAACAGCTCCCTAGATTTGTAGTACCCATGCCAGTCTAGGTAATGCATTTCATATATATTCTTTTCAATTCAGTTCTAACCTGTGACCTCTATTAAAAACATTGAAGGCCCAATGGTGCTGCAACCTTACCCACTTAAAATTCCCATTTACATCATTTGGTAGCATTGGGTGCAGAATTGGGCCCTCTGCTCTGTTCTTTTCTTGCTGTTTGTTAGGGCTTGTCTACACTGGCAAGTAGCAGCGCTGCAACTTTCTCGCTCAGGGATGTGAAAAAACACCCCTCCGCCATGAGTGCAGCAAGTTGCAGCGCTATAAAGCGCCAGTGTAAACAGTGCCCCAGCGCTGGGATCCGTGCTCTTCGTGGCAGCACTTTAGCATTGCCAGTGTAGACTAACCCTTAATATACAGTCAGGAAGAAGGAAACTATACATTGCACAGTTGTGAGATACAAAGGAGAAGATGGTCTAATTCAGGCACTGAACTGGGACTCAGCAGAGGTGGATTGGCTGCCTGGTTCTGTCACAATCATTCCTGTGTGATCTTGGCCACATCACTTAAGCACAGTGTCTCACTTACCCTCCCTGCTCTGTAAAATGGAGACAATTGTTCCTTTCTTCACAGGAATGCTGGGGGCTAAGATCAGTAACAGGTGTGAGATGCTCAGACACTACAGTGATGAGCATCAGAGAAACATCTAACAGTAAAGTTAGACATCTACAGTTGCAAACAGAGCGCTACTGGCCATTTAGAAACCTAACTAGACCCCAAGTTTGAGCACTGGGTCCACCGAGACCAAAGGGTTAGTGTGTGTTTCATTATCTATAGCTTCCTGAATAGCAAAACTGATTTACCCAACCTCATTTATCTCTCTCCTTAATCTTATACCTACACTGGTATTAAAAGACAAATACACAGTCAGCAAGATCATATTTCCTGGCAAGCACTTGCGGACTACAGTAACTCAGCCAGAGGTTAGAAGTCTATTACAGGGATGAGTGGGTGAGGTTCTGAGGCCTGCAATGTGCAGGCGGTCTAGCTTATTATGATGGTCCCCACTGACCTTAGAGTGAGCAGGCCTGCTTTGGGCTCTCACTCTCTCTCTCTCTCTCTCAGGCTGGACTCTCACACACATACCTCTTATTAACACTCCTCTCACTGGAGTAGGAACACTCCAATCCAAAACACACCAAGGTTGTTTGATTTAGCTGCAAACCCCTCAGCAGCTGAAGCAGGCTCTGGTCTCAAAAACCCTATTAAAAAAAAAAACACAAAAAGGAGTCTGCATAAGCAATGGCACAAACCAAAGCACACACTATATAGGACAGCCTTGTGTGCCCAGCTAGTTTATTACCAAGCTATGAAGCCAGTCCTTCCCTGGTTTACAATTTTGGCCATTCTTATGAGCCATAAACTGCTCTCTGTGCCTGACCTTTCAGCCAGAGAAGAGCTGAAGGGCTTCTTTCCACGGTGGCCCCTTAAAAGAATTCACCCCAGTGTTAGTACATTTTGGGGCTTCCTGGCATCAATTTCCAAATGAGCCAAATGCAGTCACGGCCTCTGATTTTGGGATGGGGTGGCAAGTGGTAGGAAATGGAGAATCCAGGGCCTGTGTTAGAACTTGATGCCCCCTTTAGAATCACAATTACCCTGTTGCAGTATAGGCAGGCCAGAGAGCCTCTCTGAGCCAAAACCACAGAAGCTCATTTGGGCCCACTGCAGGTCAATATATTGAAAGATGATGTGCTTTCATTTAGGAAACTCTGACCTTCTTAATGACCGTGTGTTCTGTGCAGTCATCAGGGTGCGCCAGCCTAACTTAACACCTAACAAAGGGCCACTGGTGCACAGTCAGCAAGACCATATTTCCTTGCGAGCACTTTAAGCAAAAAAACTCCACTGTCTTTCTCATTAGAGACCAAATGTATTTATTCACAGCCTTACAACAGCGAGGACAATTCTGCTCCCCGCACCCTTAGAGAGACCCTTACTGCTGATTGGTATAATCTCACTGTTTCCTACTGCTTCATTCCCCACAACTGTTGTTTTAGCCACCTGTTGTCTACAGTTTTATACGTAGATTGCAGACTCTCTGGGGCTGGTCCTCTCTTTGTGATATGTCTGTATTGCACCCAGCTCAATGTGGCCCTGGCCTATTAGGTGCTACTGTCAATACAAATTAACAATAATAATATTACCAGAATTCATGTATTTCAATCCCTGCATTCAGAGCCCAAACTCTGATTGAAATGCAAGTGAAATACAACACTGACCATAAGCACACAAGAGATTGTGATCATTTATATTCCAGGAAACTCAAATACAACATTGGTGGGGATTAGGCTCTAAAAAGGCTGTGTTTATAAAAATGTGTCTGCAGCCATTTAACTACATTACTAGAAAAAGCACAATCAAAATCTACTCATTTAAATGATGTAGCTTTCATCCATCAGATTGTGAGTGACTCTCTATCCCCTTATGATTAAAGAGCTGATTATAAAAACTCTGTATTAAAACACCTTAAGCCTTTTTAATCTACAGATCCTCTTTGGGGTCCCTAAGCCCCTGGTTTTATAAAGAGGGTCCACTGTCCTTTCAGGTAGGTCACCTGCTTTGTCTTTGTGGGTGTAAGTTTTTCATCTCCTTGAAGAGACATGTATGTTTCAAACACTTCTCAGGCTCCTCTGCAATATGGAACTCCCAGCGCATTTGACGGTCCACAGTGGCCTCACCTAGCGCCCAGAAGCATCTACACGTCGGTGGCTGTGCTCATGGGCATCGTAGTGTTTTCTGCCTCCTTTGTGAACGGTTTGGTCATTGTGGTTTCCATCAAGTACAAGAAACTCAGATCCCCACTGAACTACATCCTGGTGAATCTGGCTGTGGCTGATCTGCTGGTGACTTTCTTTGGAAGCACTATCAGTTTCTCGAATAACATCAATGGCTTCTTTGTGCTCGGCAAAAGGGTGTGCAAGTTTGAAGGCTTCATGGTCTCTTTAACAGGTAAGGACGTTTACAGAAATCAGCTGGCTAGTCTCTTTCTCTGTCTTCTGCTCGTGCCACTGCACTTGATCTAAAGCTGGTCTAAGACTAGAGACTATGACATAGCAACTATGGCTCATTAGCTGTCCTTGGCCATCAAATGTCTCCTTGCCTCTTCTCAAACCATAGAACAAAGACAGGGCATCATTCATGTTATCATTCCACATGCTCACAGGCATGGAATGGGAGAGCAAGTGCTTACTCACCTGGGGAGTTCAGAACACACTGGTTGAGCAGAGCCTCAGGTTTGATCTTGCTTAAAACAGGAAAGGAAGAAATAGAATGTTTTTATATCACATGTAATTTATCATAATGCTATATGTCGTGATTGCATCACTTACCGCTGCCCAAGCTGCTAGGTTGGATGTTCATGGGCTAACAAGGCAGAATGGTCAGGTTTTTGGTGATGGTACTGGTATAAAAATGAAGACACAAGCTCTCATACATTTTGCTGTGAACAATCAGTGGCCAGCAGAGGTGTGTCTGTGTGGGCAAGGGGCACTGAAACAGGGTGCATGGCATTTGCCCTGATGCCATTCCACTCTGCAGCTCTTTTATATCAATTTTTAAAAATATTTCTATGAGCATCAGGAACATGATTCACCAATTCCAGTGTCATGATGGAAACACTCCAGTGGAGAAATTGCATTTCAGACACTCCTGCAGCTGGCGAATCAAACAGAGTACCATACGTGGTATTGATATCTGTTAAGGCATCCTAGCTAAACTCCATTGAGAAATGTGAAAACTGCCTTTAAAAATGGAAACTGTATGTCCTAGGAAATACAGTGTATCCTTTCAGACACCCCCAGATTAATTAATAGAGAGTTAAATAAACAAGAAACGCTGGGGGTACTGGGTGCAATCATAAAATAAATAAGGATAAGACTCTAGATAAAACTAGATAAATTCATGTAGGATAGGTCCATCAATGGCTAATAGCCAAGATGGGCATGGATGGTGCCACTAGCCTCTGTTTGCCAGAAGCTGGGAATGGGCAACAGGAGATGGATCACTAGATGATTACCTGTTTTGTTCATTCCCTCTGGGGCACCTGGCATTGGCCACTGTCGGAAGACCAGATACTGGGCTAGATGGACCTTTGGTCTGACCCAGTGTGGCTGTTCTTATGGTAATCAAAATACGATGTTATTGTGAAAGATTTTTTCCCTGCTGGTTTTGCCCGTTTGCTTGAAATCTCTATTTCAAGCACCTGCAAGACAGCTGCTTGGAATATAGCTCATTCTATGGAGCTGTCCTTACATGGACGAAGTAATATAGCTCAGGAAAACCTGGCACTTCAGATTTAGCAGTTAAGCACAGAAAGCTGCTAGATTATTTAATAGCACAGCAATTTGAAATTTATTCCACACATACTAACCATTAGTGATCTCTCTCAGGCATTGTGGGGCTTTGGTCCTTGGCGATCCTGGCCTTTGAAAGGTATATCGTCATCTGCAAACCCATGGGAGATTTCCGATTTCACCACAAACATGCAGTGATGGGCTGTGCGTTCACCTGGATTTGGTCACTTCTCTGGACAGCCCCACCAATGTTAGGCTGGAGCAGCTATGTGCCAGAAGGTATGAGTGTCACATTCTTCAAAGGAAGCATTCAAGTCTGTAGCTTCAGCAATGGCTGATGGGCACAGTTTTTTCTTCAGTCATTGGTGGAATTTTTTTTTTAAGTATGACATATTTGGGGAGAGACCACAATGATTTTACAGCTGTCTTTGACTGTGTGGCTGTCTTTGTTCTCCAAGTGCTAAGACTCCTTGTTTTCTCATTAATTACAGGGTTTCCTTTCACATGTCACTCTTTAAAAGTTAGCTGCTTATTACAATAAACTGCAGAACATCTATTTTCTTATTATGCATATGCTTAACACAACATCTGATGAACAGAGGAGCAGCAGAGTACTGTCGCTGACTACAGTCACTGCACCCAGAGTAGCTCAGCAAAATGGCTAAAGCACAGAACAAGCCTATTAAAAACCTGTTCATTTAGAAATGTACTTTAATTTTATTATTATGACTCATTGTGGTTTGTTTGTAAATTAATAATAATGGTGCTGCCAGCCAGAAATCATCATGGCTGACGCCAGTGTTGTTTGTGTGATTTGGCTGGAATTTGGAGAGCTGCTTTCGGAAAACAGGCACAATTCAGCAAGAACAGTAGATGGTATTTGCTCTTTGTGCCTTTCCCACTGACGTCCCTGATCATGCTTCAGGATTGTCCTAGCATTGTTTAAAATCTCATTGTTCTAGGTCTGAGAACCTCCTGTGGTCCCAACTGGTACACCGGAGGCAGCAACAACAGCAGCTACATCATGACTTTATTTATTACCTGTTTCATTATTCCTCTCAGTCTGATCCTCTTCTCCTATACAAATCTGCTGATGACACTACGAGCTGTAAGTACAAAGATATTTCAGTCTGAACAGTCACATGTACTGCTGACACCATTGCAAGCGCAGGTTTTCAGTGTAATTTTTCATGGCTGTTTGTGTGATGTTAACATAGGTTGATTTCTACACTACAAACAGGCAACTAAACAGGAAGGGAGGATCATGTGGCTAACAAGTGTACCACATACCCATTTGTCCAGCAAATTTTCCCTCAGCCTATGCCATTTTATAGGACATCAGTATTTCCTATAGAATTAAGCAGTGACATATTAAAGAGCAGGCTGTTTCCCTTACATTGCCTGTAGGTTGCAGCACAACAAAAAGAATCTGAGACAAGTCAGCGAGCCGAGAGGAAGGTGACACGAATGGTGATTGCTATGGTGATGGCCTTTCTTATCTGCTGGTTGCCCTATTCCACCTTTGCCATGGTGGTTGCCACAAACAAAGACATTCCCATCCAACCAACTCTAGCATCACTGCCTTCATACTTCTCCAAAACAGCCACAGTTTACAATCCAATTATCTACATCTTCATGAACAAACAGGTGAGAGCATGAAGATTATCAGAGAGCAATTGAAAACAAGCCTTCACAGAGCTAGGGGCTTATAGGAATGAAGTGGAATAGCAGTAATGGGGCATTCTAATATAGCATAGCATATCTATCCTATTGGGATTCCTGTCAAATGCTAGATCCCACTGATTGCTTCTTTACAATAGGCAAGGCTAAGGTATAAAATTGAGATGGAGCTTGATTTTCAACCTGGCCTTAACCAGCGATCCTTTTGCATACCCATTATTTTCTAGGGGCAACTGACTAAATTTTGGATCATGAATTGCCTGATTGAGCTTGCACAACAAACAGACAGATGTTTATCAATCAATTGCCAGTGCCTGCAAAGAGCAGGATCAGGCACTAACCAGTCTGACCCCAACATTGTTATTTGTTTCAGAGTAACAGCCGTATTAGTCTGTATTCGCAAAAAGAAAAGGAGTACTTGTGGCACCTTAGAGACTAACCAATTTATTTGAGCATGAGCTTTCGTGAGCTACAGCATCCGATGAAGTGAGCTGTAGCTCACGAAAGCTCATGCTCAAATAAATTGGTTAGTCTCTAAGGTGCCACAAGTACTCCTTTTCTTTTTGCGAACATTATTATTTGCATTCCACGCTGGGCTAGGTATTGTCCACATAGCCCCTGCCTTGGAGGTTTACTACCTACAATGTTAATGCAGATTATAAAATTATGAATGGTGTGGAAAAAGTGAATAGAGAAGTGTTATTTCCCCTTTCCCACAATTAAAAAAACAGGTGTCATCTGATGAAATTAAATTCAATACAAACAAGAGGAAGTATTTTTTCACACAATGCACAATTAACCTGTGGAATGCATTGCCATGGGATGTTGTGATGGCCAAAAATACAGCTGGGTTCAAAAAAGAACTAGATAAATTCATGGAGGCTAGATCCATCAATGGCTATTAGCCAGGATGGGCAGGGACACACAACCCCATGCTCAGGGCAACCCTGACTGCCCGAAGCCGGGTAAGGGGGAGACGAGGGTGGTTCTCTCCAGCATTGCCCTGTTCTGTACATTCCCCCTGAAGCTCTGGTACTGGCCACCATCGGGCACAGAATACTGGGCTAAATGGGCCATTGGTCTGAGCCAATACAGCAGTTCTTACATGTGTGCCAAAAGCATCCAGGTTGCATCTCACAGGAGCACCACCAACTCACAGGTTACAGCATCTGGGTAAAGCAAAACCTGGTATAGTAGTTTGGCATAAAGGGACCCAGGAGAGGTGTGTTTAGCAGCCTGCCTTCTTCTCTTATCTAGTGAATTTTCCTGTAACACATGTGCTTTCCCCAATTAGTTCCGGGACTGCCTGCTGAAAATGATGTGCTGCAATCGCAACCCGTCAGGGATGCAGGAAACCTCTCCTGCTATGCCTGGTGCCCCCAAAGGCATCTCATCAGCCTTGGAGGGATGCGGAAATAAGGTGACTCCATCGTAAACAGTGCAGATGCTTCAATTCCTGCATGGAGGAATGGCAGCTGCCAGCTCCATACATTCGTCTCAGTTTCATTTGGCATAAATACAAAGAGGAGCAAAGAGGCTGGCTATTTTCTAACAGCCCAAATATACACCAGAAAGTAATAAAAAATTTCTTCTTAGAGCTCCCAATAATATTCACTGTACCCTGCCCTGTCACTGCAAACTTAGATAGAAGGTAAAACACATTCCCTTCAATGGCAGGAAAGCAATCATATTAGAGAGTAAATATCAGAGAGAACAGTTCACACTCCCAATGGGAATAGCCCCCATTCCTAGTTCCTTACCCCCTGGGGGAAGTGCTAAAGCATGATAATGGGGGACCTTTTACTAGGCCAAGGAATAATTAAACTACCAGCATTAAAGCCCAAAAGAGCACTTCTGCAGTAGTAATCCCATTAGGAAAAGCATAGGCTTCATTTCATTTAAATATATATTTCACCGCACAGAGCAAAACAGGAGAAAGCCCTGCACATTTTCAATACACATTATTTTATAGACACAGTAGGATTTGTGTTGGTTGATCCTTTTGTGTAACTTCAAGACAGGCTGTGAACCAATGAAAATTTAGCAGGTGTGTTCAAGTGGATTGGGTTAATAAACATCCAGACATTTAAACACCACTGTCTCCTTGTCATGGGCAGTCAATTAGCAAATAAGCAATTAGCAAAGGGCCCCAACAGACAGCAGGGTGTAACCTCCAGTAACCACAACTGGAGTTTTATTTCACATGAAAAATGCCACACTCACTGAGACAAAGGAGAAGATCAATATCGCAAAAACAAGGGGCCTGAAGCCCAGCAGATTTGTATTTCATTTATAGCTGAGGCAATCAGGAAAGGCCTTAGAGTCATTGATTTTGCAATAAAGGTGAAACAAAGCCTGTAAAAGATTCTGTGTCACGTAACAAAAAAAACACAATAAAGCTACCGGGGCCATAAAGGCTGAGACGATAGCAGAAAGCAAAAGATGCACAACGTGAATAGGGAGAAATTCAACAACATTAAACGGATGCGATTTTTCCTCCAATAACCATTACTTGACCTCCTTCATTATATCTAGTGGCTCGAGAACATTGCAAGCACTAGTGTAACATTTTCCAAAGTGCTTAAGTGACTTAGGATCCTAAGTCCCACTGAATAAGGGTCTGATTTTTAAAGGTATTTAGGCATCTAAAATGCAAGTAGGAATTTTCAAAAGCACCCAGGTGCCTAGCTCCCAAATACCACTAGACACCTATCTGCATCTTTAGCCACCTAAAAACCTCTGAAAATCTGGCCTAAAGTGCCTAAGATCACTTCTGAAAATAGGCCTTAGGCTCCTCAGTCACATTTGAAAAATGTTACCTCTGCTCTCAAAGGAGTTTCCTTTTTGTGTCATGTCATTATGGTTTTTCCTGACAAGAAGATCACTGACCTTCTCTTCCATGACCTTCTATCTACGGCCTTTGATGTTAGAACACATAAATGAAGGAGTCAGAGGGTAACTGCATTTACAGGTTCACACAATTAAATGGCTCTTACCCCATTATTAGTAATTCCAAATCTGCTGATAATAAGCAGCTACAATGGCAACTGCTAAGCCTTTCTCGAGGTGCACAGATTATTATGAAATGTGATTTTTTTTAACCTCTTTAAAAGCTTTAGGAAGGAAAAATTATTTCTATTGCCGTGATGTATTATAATGAATGCCAACTGCACCCAAAGCTGTGTTTCCCTTCTCCTTAGTGAATACAGGTAGGGAGAAAAGAGCAATGAGGTAACAAGTGCAAGCGGTAGTTGGGTTCATACCCTCTTTGATGCCACCATTAGATCATTTGCTTTTTCTTGCTTTACTTCATTCTGGGGGACTCTGGTTATCACACACCTTTGCTTAATTGGAGACCTTCTACAATACTATGGCCATGCTAGCTAACCCTTGCAACAAAGCAAAAATGATGCTACTCCATGCATATACTGGATATGTATTTGGGATATTACGTGCTTGCACACACACACAAATATATATCTGTATCCACACACATCCATATGCCCACATTTACCTATGCAGGTATGTCAAATTCAATCCAAATAACTCCTGAATGAAACACTGGGCCAGGTCCTCTGCTGGTGTAATTTATCATAGCTCCCGTGAAATCAAAGGACACTTTGAGTTACACCAAAGGTCTTAATGAAACACTTGACCCAGATGGAGCTATGTCAATTTACACCATCTGAGATCTGTCTCATTATAGTTCATCTTTCTTATGTTAATCTAATTGGGTGAGGGCTTGTGAACCCAGTTTAGTGCTCGCAAATATTTTATATGTTCTCAAACTGGTTCCAGAATCTGAAAAACATTGAGATAAATGCTGATCAGAATGTGCTAATTTAAACCATATCTCCTCTAGGAAATGGACTTTAGTCAGGGGGATTTTTCACAAAGATTACATCCGTCTTCTGAAGATCCATCACAGTGCATTAACACATGGGTTCCAGATCCTCAGAGGTATTTAGGTCCCTAACTCCCATTGAAGTGAGGCACTCAGAAGGAAATTAGAATGCTTGGAGGGATAGTGTAAAGGCAAATCCTTCTCTACACAGGGCTGGGCTTGGACTAGATGACCAAAGAGCTCTTTTGTCAGTCCTGGCATACATAACACTAATGCTGTTCATACTGCACCATGAAAACAAAGGATCTTCTCAAAAAGGAATCCTGGAATTATTTTCCAGAAGCTGTGAACAATCCCAAGGATGCTAAAGAGTGCAGAGCCAGACAAATATGCAGCTCTTAAAAAGACTGGTTAAAACTGCTGATTGTACCATATTGCCAGATTTTTAACTAAGAACTAGCAGGCAATCACAGCATTGGTTAAATCAGACCTCTCCCCCACCAAGAGGCTTCTAAATAGAAAACCACAGATTGTGAAATCCCAACAGTTAAGCCAGGCTTACAGTAACTTACTTTGGGTTTGCACCATTCTCTGACAGGACATTGACCATCTCTCATCTCTGGGAAGCTGGCACATGCAGCCTGTGAGAGAGAAAATCGATAGCACTGGGTAAAGGATAAAGATGAGTCTGAAACTAAAGCATCAGACAAAAACCCCACAGTAGCCTATTTATCAGCAATAACCCTAAACAGCAGCTTCCTACCAAACAAACAATACACCCCACAACCATTTGTACCATCTTACAATGGGGCCTATTCTCCCATTCACAGACCCAGGTCTTCCCATTGATGTTTATATGAATTACAGGCACCCAAACTTCATCCAGTCATGGGCCACATTGGCCATTTGCAAGAAGCCTGAGGGGGTGCAGCTTGTCTATGAGATGGAGCTACTCTCATCTATGAGATGAAGCTGCAGCCATGACAGATGACAGGACAGGTCCACACAAACAGTACTCCATCTGCCAGGCTTCTTGAATCATGATAGAGCACAGCATGCTCAGACCAGTAGGTTATCTGCAGACTGCACTTAGGCACTGAAGAAAAAGGCAACAGTGGAACATGCTGTGGAACTCCATGAGCCACACTGCATTAGAAGGGCATGTTCTCATGAGCAAGCTCTTACCACACGGAGAGGTTTGGCCATCATAATTGTGATGATTTAGATATACACCTCCAGCACACCAGACCTCCATCTGTATAATATCATTCCTATATATGCAGCACTGAAAAATAAATGGGTCAGATCACTAAATGGGGCCTGTCAGGTACTATGGACTTTCAGAAGCAAACAAGGAAGTTACTCATCACTGGGGCTACTTTATAAGTGCCCTCTCTGGAAGCAGAGTGAGAGATATTGTAAACTTAAAAAATCCTCAGGTCAAAGAAACAAAGAAGAATGGTTTAGAAACCTGCCATTTTCAGAAGAAAACACTTTTTTGCTTGTTAAAAGAGGCCATTATGCTACAAAATGCCTCTCTGATTCAGAATAACCACAGAATTGTACACTAATGCCCTGCACCCCTTTAACCCTCTGCTATCAAGTTCTGGACCATTGCTATAGAATATTGCAGTGCTGTTGGGAGAGGAAAGCATACAGTATTTTTAAATGCTTTATAGACAAATGTATTCCTATTAAACTGTCTTAAGGCAAACAATTATTTAGACTGCAAATGCTTTGGGGCAAACGCTGTCTCTTAGTATGTGCTCAATCTCAGTAGGAGCCCGGAGATGCTACTGTAATACAAATCATAAATAAGAATATCATCATTTTGTTTTAGGTGGCAGTTGAGACACAAAAGGAGCCAGCTTTTCCCATTAAAGTCAGTTTATGTGTGCACCTGAACCCCTACTGCTTGATATTAAGTGACAAGAGAGAGCAAGTTACATTGACAAGATCATGCAGGACATAATCATGTAACAGGAGTTATCTTGAATCAATTAATTATTTTGCAATTCAGCTGTAATTCTATGCAGCTCTAACATTCAGAAATGCCACCAGTCCCTTATTTTCCTCCCATCTGATACATTACCCATTTTTATTTACAGCTGTTGAACTTTAATCAATCAAATTAATTACATGTGAAATCTCTCAATTAGCAATAAATTGAGAATGAAATTGGCAAAAGTTGCACAGTTAAATGAGACCCGCTGGTTTAATAATTAAGTAAACTTCTGAACAGCACTGCAGGTAAAATGAAAGGCTGGAACTAAAAGTAACTTAGGGCTGGTCTACACTGAAAAATCCACACCCATGGACGACGTAGTTAAGCCCATGGTGTAGAAGGTGCTAGGCTGCCAGAAGAATTCTTCCATTGACCTAGCTACTGCCTCTTGGGGGGGTGGATTAACTACTGTGATGGAAGAATGCCTCCCATTGCTGTAGTGAGTATCTACACTGAAGCACTGCAGCTGTGCTGCTGTAGCATTTTAAGTATAGACACAGACTCAGTTACTCAGCATGCTGTTGTCTAGATATTGCAACCTACATGGTGATTTAAGATCAACCCACTGTTCTGATATTATCATCAGAGGGGATAGTATAAGCTGCTCTCTATAAACATGGCTCGTTTGAGTGGGCCACTGAGCAGTTAATATGAACTTAGACTATAACATCTTTGGAGCAAGGACTATCTTTTAGCTCTGTTTTGTACAGCCCCTAGCACAATGGGGGTCTTGGTTCATGACTAGGGGCTCCTAGGCATTATGGTAAATCAAATAATAAATAAGGCTGCAGTCTGTCACAGAGATCACGGAAGTCACGGATTCCATGACTTTCCAGCAGCAGCAGGAGTTTGGGTGAATCAATGGAACAGCCTACTCCCCCATATTAGACCAATACTTGATCTAATTCATCTTTTCTGTATAGCACAGAACAAGGAGCTACAATATTCCATCAACAAAACTCATTCCACTGTGTTTGAGAAAGTTCAGATACTGTCAGCTCCTGTCCCCATCACAGGCATTCCAGCTCATCAACGATTTCTCTTAAACTACTCACACTGATGTACAGACAATGGTAATGTTTCTCTCTTGTTTATTTACCTTTCTGCTGAGATGCTGTTGCCTGACTGGATTGCTCCTTCTTGTCTCAGAGTCCAGCTGCAGCTACTGCCCAGTTCTAGAGTCTGTCTCTGAGCATGAGCTCGGCATCCATTCCTGGGTAACTCCATGAAAAGGTTGTGAGCTGAGAATCAAAGAGGGGGTTACCTCCCAGGATTTCTGCGTGATTCTAACTCATTTAGGAAATGGTTTCATGTCTACAGGTCTGATATTCAGGAATGCTGAGCTCCCACGACTCTCCCTGACTCATTCAACCCATATGTCAGTACCAACCTACAGGTAAGTCAGTAAGTACTCAGCCACTATGTGTCTATTCACCAGCATGCCTTTGCCAAGTCGCCAGGTTCCTGTTTCCATAGATTTTTAAGGCCAGCAGCACCATTATGATCACCTAGTCTGACCTGCTACATAACACAGGCCAAAGAGCCCAGTCAATAATTTCTGCAACAAGTCCATAATTTCAGTTTGAGCTAGAGCATCTCTTTTAAAAAGATATCAAAACACATCTTAAAGACTGCCAATGAAAGAGTTGTGTCTTAACCAATCCTTCCCTCTCCCTAGTTAATTCCACCTTTCCCCTCTTGCTTTTTTAATATTGTGACCAATAGCTGAGTAGGCAGTGGGTCAAAACAGGGAGTGGCAGTCACGTAACTGAGAGCAGATTTTGACTTAATTCCTTCTGAATTTGCCGATAAAGCTCCTGCTGTTGGTCAGTAGCCAGGGGATCTATAGAAACAATGGGGCTGCATGTCTCTTTAGTCTCTCAGGCAGAGAAGAAGCAAAGAGATGATGGTCATATGCAGACCCATTCCCAAATAGCTAAGTCACCAGATATTATTTGCTTCATCAGGTGAAAATATAGGGAAAATAAGGAAATTCAGTACTTCACGCATTTTTAATATACTGAAATAGATGCCAGAAGCTATAATACTTGCCCTTCAAAGGTAAGATTATCCTGGATTTGCAATACTATGTCAGATAAGATAATGTTTATCTCTATAGTGTATGACCTACTCTTCAGAAAGGGAATGAAGCCTGAATAAAAAGGCTGGGAAGATGGAAAAATGCAGTCAAACATCAGCTGGTGGGATGGAATTCTCAGCCCCAATACAGCACTCTGAGACCCAGGGTTATATACAGCGAGTCCAGCAAGGCTACTGCTCAGCATTGGAGGGGGGTAATGGACAGAAACTGCTGGTTCCAGGGTATTTGGGGCCATTGGATTCCTGCTGCATACAGATCTAGTAGCCAATTCTGGTTCACGCCCCCATTTTTTATTATTATTATTTTTTTTTTTTGCCTTTCACAACTTCAGTTCAATTCAGTGAGGCTTTATTGGCATGGCAATTTATGCACGTGCTGTCAAAGAGTAAGAGAGACAAATACCCACTGGTATCTGTCAGGAGTAGGTACAACCCACCAACGACAGGATTTCACACTGCATTTAGGGTAGGAGCCTTTGTGTCCATTTGTCACTACTGTCCATTCGTGATCCTGTGGCAGACTAACATATTATGATGCCTTCCACAGTCCCATGTAGACACATACCAAGTCTTGCACCAGCAACACTATCCCAAGTCCAGAGTCCACCTGCCTGGGGCAAAGGCACAGAATGTAGACATAGAAAACTTAAGCGTTTGTAAAAAAGCTAATAAAATGAGCCCATCTGCAGAAAATAAAATCCTACCACAGAAAACTTTGATGAAAAAATAATTATGTAATGCACAAAAGTTCAAGTGAAATCTCCACCCCGCGTGCAGTGCACTGAGCACCACCGAGTGAAACATGGAATTGTGCCTGCAACAAACTTCAGGATGCAGATTTGGAAACCATGACCTCACAGTTGCTGGTTGTTCTGTCAGTATCATTACGATGAATGAGAAGAAAACCTCATGGTATCAGCTTGGAAAAAGGACTTCATTTCCCCAAAAGAGCTCACTGAAAGAACACCAACAAAATCTGACAAAGTCTGGGTAAGGATTATCTGGTCGATGGGGCACTAGCCTAGGATTTGGGAGACGTAGGTGCAATTTCCTGCTTCACTAGACTTCCTGTGTGATGCTAGTTGAGTCACTTCACCTCTCTGCCACTTGGTTCTCCACCTGCACAATGGGATAACATCCGGGCCCTGCCTCCCAGGAGGATTATGCAGAGAAAGTCATTAAAAAAAGATTCTGAAGACTTTGAAATCTACTAATGAAAAGCACTACATAAGAGGTAGGTAATTATTAATTATTATTTTCAGAAATAGCTCAGAACTGAAAAATTAGCCAAATGTATGATCTAAAACAGAAATACATTTATATAAGGCAGTAAATAGTAGCAAGAAATACCACATTGCAGCATGCTAAACTCAGAAGACTTTTATTAGTATTGTTAACATTCAGATAAGTAAACCCATGTAACGGCTACAGGCATGCATAATATCTCACCATAAAAAATCAGGGAAGAGAGAGAGAGACAGACTCATGAAGTGCACAATAACAGCAAGTGCAGCTAAAAACCTAACATAAAGTGGCACAATATTTATGCTGAAGTGACCAGCAGCAGCTCTAAACTTCACAGGGTTACTGAACCAACACAGTGCTGTAGAACAGACATTCAGTTCTAAAGTACTTGTGCCCATTTAGGACCTGGTTGGAAGTCCAATTAAATCAATGGGACTCTTCTTTTGGATAGGCTTTGGATCAGGCCCATCAGAGGCATGGTTTGATTAAATAAGAGAGGTCTTGACACTATCAACCAGTTATTCACACATCGCTGCCTGAAGCTAGAAATGTATGTTATGCTGCCTTCATAGTACTCACTTTTTCTCATTCACTTTTGCACAAAGATAAATCCTCTAAATCATTTCAGTCAGTTCAATTTATGTCACAAGAATTCCACAAAATGAGAAAACAAGAAATTACCTTGTCACATCTAATGAGCAAACGAAGCAATGCACACGTGGGCTGTAACACCATGTTCCACTCCCTGGCACTGAAAAGCTAAGGAGAGCAAGAGCAGCAGCAGCAATTTAAAGAGACTCATTTTTGTCAATAACGAAAACTGCATAATGCAACAGAGCAAGAAATGCTTTAACTTATGAAAGTGAGTGTGCATGCTAGGGAGAAAACAAAGCTGTAGAAGGCTTAACAGGCACAGTTATATTTGGAAAACAAATCCATTTTACAGCATAATTCAGAGTGCTGCCTCTCATTTATAAGCAATTGCTAAAAAAAATGAACCAAAACTTAATATACCAGATGTACTTGGAGAGCAAACCATTCAGTCTCTTTGTATCGATTGTTACAATTAAAGGAAGTCTGAGAACTATAAGACTGCTTATTTGGTGAACAGCATTGCACATCACAGAAATAGGAAGATGTCAAACAACTTATTGAAGGTTTATATGCTATCGACTTTGATCACTTAGGTGCGTTGCTCTGATCCAGGACAATTACCCTGAAATAAAAAAATGAGATTAAACAAAAAAATACGTTTTTCTTGCATGAGCAGTTCATAAGCAGTGATGGGAATGGGATTCTAAAGCATTATTTCTGGCTCCAGAGCGCTGGAACAAAAGGTATACCTAGCACACGCAGTAAAAGGAGAATGCGTAAGTTCTCTCACTTTGACCTGAGTGACAATTTGGTTTGCATAGGCACTACCTCAGGCCCAGATCCTCAGAGGTATTTAGGCACCTAACTCCTCCCAATGGGAGTTGAAATCAATGAGTTAGGCAGCTAAATACTGTTGAGATTCTCGGCCTTAGGGCAGAATTTAACATAAACCCCCAAACTGTGCTAGGTTTTGATCCCATTTATTTTGCTCACTAGGCCAAATATCAGAAACTTGAGAAACTTCTTTGTCTTTCAACTGTATTAGCTAAAGTACAGTGGAGCACATATTTGTGGTATCACCAGAACAACTGACTTTCACACATACAAATATCTAATAAAGGTTTACCTGAATGGAGAAGGCCAAGGCAGCCGCTGCCATAAGCTGGGTTTTGGATCCTCAGGATTTGTAGCTTGAAAGGAAGTACAGAAGCAATAAGAACACACGCATCCTACCACCACAATACTTCATTAGGAAAGCTTTGGGGTTTTTTGTCAGCATGTAAAAAAGCTGCAGAGATTGCTGCTAAAAATCCCTTCAATGGGCCCACTAAGCTGCAGTTATATTCAGAAACCAGTGGCTATCTGTTACTGTGCTTATAAAGGTAGATTGTACTATACCTTCTCTGCAGAACCTTTTGCTGGGGAAAACATTCCTGGCAGCACTGAACAAGTCAGGGGTTGATTCTGCCACCCTAACTCCTACAGGAGTAGCCCCATTGAAATTGTCCTAGACTGTTAACACAGGTGTAAAGTTAGAATTTAACCCTTTCGTTTCCAGACTTGTGTGTTTAAATATATTGCCAACACTTTCAAAAGTGACTAGTAATTTGGGAACTGCAACTTTTGGGCCCCCAACTTGAAAGCTCAGCATCCACTCTCTAAACATCAGGCTCTTTTAAGTCTTCTCATGCTAGGCACTCAGAATCACAAGTCACTTTTGAAAGTCAAGGACTACAACCTTAAGACTGCATTAGCCTGTTTTTGCAGTGAGACCCTAGATTCTACCATGTTTGTTTATACAATAACAAATCCAAACCTACGAACTTCCCCCATGTTAAATGAATTTCTCTTAACAGGTAAAGAATGAAAACAATAGGAAAGTGTTACTGTCTAATTTGACATTACTCACTAGCTGTAAAATTCCAGGACATCTTTTTTAACTGTTTCCAATGAAGATCTAGACTTAGGGAGGATTATACTCAAGTGCAGTTGCCTAAGACAGCCAGAGTACAGGGATGCTCTCCTGTCACTACCATCCCTACCCGCTTCTCTCATTTCTGCAGTTCCTTGTATCCAGGCTGGGGGTCAGCTGGCCTAATGATTATGTGGCTGCTTCTCAACAACCGAACTCAAGTCCAGGAACTTTGACTGGCTAAGGGTATATTATTAGTCACACTGTTTGACTAGGGGAAGCTCCACTGGAGTAAAACCCCATTGTTTGGGTTTTATATTTTCAAATCAGCTCTTGAATTTTAGAACCTAATACATTCTTCCCAGTTTGCCCCACTGGCAGGCTGTTGGTCACTAGGGAAGGGTAACACCAACAGCTAAGTGCCTCAGCTGCCATGCTATCACCACGTGGTAAAAGGTAGCTCCTTCCTCCTAATCTAAAGAGCCTGCGTAAGACAGTGTGGATGATACAAGTCAGTCAGCTGCAGCAAGGTTCCACAAGCACTACTCAACGGAAGGCCACTAAGCCTTTAAGAGGCATATAAAGCAAAGGAAGCTCCTTTGATCTGACTCCTTCGCCTGATGAAGAACGTATGTCCTCCTCACCAACTCCTCTCCTCCGCCACCTCTAGCTAGTAGGAGAGGAGAAAGGGGAAGGATGGCTTAGGGTATATCTACACTGTGATAAAACCCCATGGCACTGTGTTTTAGAGCATGGGTCAGCTGACTCAGGCTGCGGGGCTAAAAATGGCAGTGTAGATGTTGGGGTCTCGGAGCCAGGGCTCCAGCCCGAGTGTCTAGGCCAGAATTTTATAGCCCCTTGAGCCCGAGTCAGCTGACCTAGGCCAGCCAGAGGTGTTTTATTGCAGTGTAGTCAAACCCTCCGGGACGTGGTAGTGTTAGTGCGGAAGTCACGTGTTCAACCCCAACCCACACCAACAGTAGCTGAAAGCCTTTATAATGTGAAGGCCTTAATGTGCCTTAGCAGATTAAATGGGATATGGACACTGTGTGATCACAGTTCCTCCAAAGCGCGTTGATAGCTCAGTGTGGGAAGCTGCACCCTCACTACCCACATGTAAGCAGTTCTTTAACTCAAGAGAGCAATGGGCTGTCAGACTAACACCTTTGATCAACGCTGGTAAAAATCAAAGTTTAATAATAAAACAGAATTTTACCCCAAAGCAGCTTCCTCCGTTCTAAAAGCTTGGGACAGAACTGGTATCAGTGTGTTCCAAAGGGCAAAGGAATCAGTAAGAGAACAATAGCTAACAGCCTTGCTCAGTGCAAGATATTTATTACTAATAAACTCATCGCTGCCAGGATAATAAACAAGTCATTGCCAAGCACAGTATATTATATCTTTACAAATTAAGAAAGACCTTCGGTATTCCCTGAACAGCTTTCGGTCTCTCTGCTTTCTGCCCTGGTGCCACCTTCCTCTAGTCCACTCTTCATTTCATCATCTCCTTGATCTTTAAGGTTTGTTGCCCTTCAATGACAGAGATTTGTGTGTCAAGTCACAATTTTATATTTTATTTGGGGGAAGTTTAATAGAGACCATTAATATATAAGTCCCTAAAACAGCTAAGCATCTGCTTTTTGCTCTTGTCCTCCGCTGTTGAGCCAGGAGATCAGTTTGCAGCTGTGCATTACATTTACAATCAGACTCCAGTGATCCTCCATCCCCCTCCGTTGAGGATCAGGAATTATCACTTAAGACAGATGTGTACTACAGCAGCAGGCAGCGGCAGGTAGACACCATACAGTATTTCACTTTGGTTTCTCTCAGCAGATGCCTGAAACCTTAGACATTATATGGGAGCAATCCAAAACCCATGGGCTTTGGATCAGGCCCTCTATCTAACATGACTGTGCGTATCTGAAGTAACCCTACCTGCACCTCCATCAATGTCCTTCCTTTCCATCAGGA